TGTTTTAGAAAAGTGAATATGCTATTTTGTAAAATTAAGTAAGCTAAAAATAATTTTTTGTTTTGTCTCCTAATATGACTATGCTCTGACCTTACCAATGGGGGTTAATGTTGGCCATGTTAATATGTATTTTGTAATTAAAGATCAATCTCCAAACTGCACCATCAGTTACAGATAGTGGTATTTGTGTTATCTATCACATCATTGATTACAAAATAGTGGTATTTGTGATATCTGTCACACTATTAATTACAAAATAGTGGTATTGTGATATTTGCCTACATAATTGATTATAGAATAGTGATATTTATGATATTTGTTCAATGCAACCAAAGATTACTTTTGATATATTTCTGAACTATGCCCCAAGGGTTAAGTGTGGTCTTAACATATTACAGGAGACTAATAAAATCTGTTATATTGGTCAAATTATGTTTAACTCCGTTATATGAAAATGAAGTTTTGAAATGATATGATTTTGAATGAGATTATCCAAAATTCAGTTTTGATACCTATATAAGTATTAGTAATTTTAGCCTAAATATTTTGAGCATGCTTAATCCACTTGAAAGGATATTAGTTATTTGCTGAGTCGTTGTACTCACTCATTCTTTCAATTTTTACAAGTTGTGAGTTGGTCAACCACTCGAGAATTCCAGAGAGTGACGTTTCATAATCTAATATATGAATTTGGATTGCCTTAGGGTTGTTTAAATGTTAAGAACTTTGAACTATCTTAAATCAGTTATTTAGGCCATTATCTTGACATATTAACTTCAAAGTATAGGAAACTTAATTTCAAACATTGTCGAATTATGACCCCTTGAATTCTGTTGACAGCTTTAGCTTTTATGAATTATTATATTCTTTAAATATATTGACCCTTTTAGTTAGTTATATAAGATATATGTATTTGAGCCTTGTATGTTTGTAGGATTATATCTTACAAGTGTGTGGTGTCACTTGTGCCTCGAATCCGAGGTATTACATTTCAACAAAGCATACATTAATTGCTCATCCATAACTCATTTAATATGTGGAATTATCATCACATACATATGACAATTGAGCATACTTATGTATTACATACACAATTCTTTGAAGGGAAATTTTGGGTTTAAAATAATTAAAAGGATTTGTCCTCTTTTATTAAAACTAATGCGTAATAAAATATTTACTTACATATATAGATTGAAAAGTCTTTTCAAAAGATAGGTTCATCACAAACACATTTGCACTTATAAAATAGTGATGAGAAAACATATTCATCGACAAACCATCAAACCATGTCTTAGCTTTACATATTAAAATAGTTTTGAAAATGGTGTATCCACTCATCTTGACAAAAGTATGCTTCTAAGCCTTACTTCATCAAACCTCACTCGTTCTACAATGCTTGAGCTCAACACAACATATCAAAATAATTTCTAGCATGAATTTCCTAATTTTCCAGCAATCCATTTAATTTGAAAGTAGTTGAATCTTCCAATATTTTCCATTAAGTCCCCAATAAGTTCTAAACTTCAAACCTAATCAGTAAAATGAACAATCTTAATCATCTTTACCTTCATAACCTCTTTGAACAGCCAAACCACCAAATCCTTAGCTCAAAAACAAATTTAATGAGTTGAAATTTACAAAATCCTAAAGTTAGGTTGAAATTTTGAGATTAAAACTCAAAAATGCCAAATCTTACCTTAAAATCAAGAATGGAGAGTTGAATCCTTGCCAAATGGGTTCTAGAGGGGTTGAAGAATGATTTGGATGTTGCTGGGGATGGGTTGGAGGCTAAATAAGTGAAAAATAAAATCTAAGGCTCGAGCTGGGTTTTATATTTTTTTCCACGTTGGAGCTCAGGGATCAACCTCTTAACCCCACGATCCCTAAGCTTATATTATTCTACCCAAAACTACTAGGATCAACCCCTTGACCTTAGGAGGTCGATCTTAGTTAATTCTAGAAAATGATTTTAAGCTACCAACTTATAGGGATTGACACTTTAGCCATTGTGGGTTGATCCTTATGCTTTTAAAATTCTTCTAAGTGTTTTACTCCTATAAGGATTGACCTTCTCTTCTATGAGGGTTGATCTTAGCTATTCCATAAGTGCTTTTTAAGTCTTTCACTTACAAGGATTAACCACTCCCTTCATTGGGGTTGATCTTGGACATTTGGAGAACCTAACTTAGACATCTGGTGATACATGGATCGACACTCCCTTCCATGGGGGTTGATCCTAGGCCAATTCCAATAGCTATGTAAGGCTTCAAACCTCTAGGGATCGACCATCCTTGCCCATGGGATCGACCTTTCAAGCACAATTTTGCAAAGATCGACCATCTTTGGCCTTCATTTCCTATCATTTTCTCATCCATCAATACCACATTAATTCAACAATCATCATAGTAAGAATTTCATGTCAATCTAGTTCGAAAAACTCATCTAACTTCCAAATTTATATTAACAAAAAAATTCATTCACATAATTTGTGCAAACTTACACAATATCACACTTAACTTAAATAACATCATTGCATGAAAGGTTAGGGTTTCACAATCTTGTTTCGAGAAGATTGCTCATATTGTATTTAACAGTATGTGAGAGGTCTATCAAATACGCATTGGGGTAGCATGATGAAACGAGTAAGAAACAACATGTCATCTATTACTTAAGCAAAAAATTCACCAAGTACGAATCCATATACTCATTGTTTGAGAAATTGTACAATGCGTTGGCATGGATGGCTCACAAACTTAAACCGTACATGTCATTGAAACAAGTAAGATAATGGAAGAAATTCATGATGGGATTTGTAAGACCCATGTTAATGGTCATATCATGACAAAGCAAAACATAAAGGCGAATTATTATTGGTTGACCATGGAGATTGACCACATCAACTATGCTAGGAAATGTCACAAATACCAAATGTGCTGTGAACTTTGAAATACATTTCAAGGTGGAATCATTCAATCATTCAATCCTTAGAAGCATATCTTTTCAAAATTGTCCAATATTGTCTTTTGAGCTTTGATGTTAAAATGTAACTCCTATGGATATGTGATTAATTTCTTGCAAGGCAAGTATGCCTTGTGATTAGCCCTTTTAGATAATTGATTCTTTTCTTTTAAAGAAATATAGAATTAGGAAAATAAAACTAGAAAATGATTTCAAAATTAAATAAATTTAACTCCCATGTCTAATCCTGGCCAAAATGGGCTTAAAAAACTTTCAATTTCCACCCATTCAAACATAGTTAAATTGGACCCCTGACCCTTATAGCATGTTTGATATAGGGAATAACTAAGCTATTCCCTCTCTATTACCATGTTTTTTTTGTTTCCTTGTTTGGTAAGCAATTATCTAAAGGAATAGCTATTCTTTAATATTAGTTATTCCTCAAAAATAGTTAAAAATCAAGCTTAATTAACCCAAAGCCCTTATGGTATTTGCTGTTCCATGGTTAGTGAATAGCTTTCAAATTTGATAAGACTAAAATACTCCTACAACTATGAAATATTACAACCTTAAACATATAAATACATTTTTTTTCTTCTCATTTTTTCTTCTTTCTGTCTCTTCCCACGTTCTTACCTTTCTCATTCTCTCTAACTTGCACTCATCACCGAAGATGATGATGACAGTGATGGATGGCAACGACGATGGCGGTTCTATGACCGAATATGATAAAAAAGCGTTGCTCTAATACTTTCTGGCAAGATCCGACCAAGGAGTCACCACATTTGAGATCCACGACTTGATCTAGCTATGGAAACATTAGATCTAGTGTTTCTCGACCAGATCCCTACGGTCGGATCTGACACTTCAGGCTAGACTTGACCATTAAAAGCTCTGATCTGATGCCCTAGTGGCTAAATCCAACCACATGGTATGTCAGATTGACGCTTTTTTACACCAACCACATTTGTGGTGATCGACCAATAGAGAAGAAAAAGGAAAAAGGAAAAAAAGAAAAAAAAATTAAAATAAAAAGTTAAAAATTTACTTATAAATTATAAAAAATTAATATTTTAATATTTAAATCATAATAATGTTTAAATTATAAATAAAATATTAATATTTTAAAATATTAATGTTTACCTTATTAAATTATTAATATATTAAATTTTATTGAAAGAATAAATAAAAAATAAAAATGTAAACAAAAGAAAAATAAAAAATTATATATTATTTTAATAATAAATTTTTAAATTTTTGATTACCTTAAAAACTAAATAATTAAAAAAGAAAAAATTTGCTCATATTTGTCTTTTGATATAAATTTTACTAAATTATATAAAGGGTATTTTTGTTGTTTTAAAAAATAAATCTTATTATAATAAAAAGTTTAAGTTTATAATTATATATTATAAAAATTAATATTTTAAATTTGAAAATTAATTAAAATTATTAACATTTTAATCATAATAATTTTAAATTATAAATAAAATATTAATCTTTTAAAATAATAATTAAATTATAATAAAATATTGATATTTAAATTATTAATTATTAATATTTTAAATAAATTATAAATTATTATATTTAAAAAATAAAATAAAAATAAATAATCATATAAATAATAAAATATTTTT